TAAGCTAATCAGCAGCCTACACTAACCACAACACATCAGAGGAAGCTATTTGGAGTTCATCTTCTTAACATATGGTTAAGTTATTTCAATAAATGGGCATAGCAAAGGCATTGAAAGTTATGTATGTAATTTACAGACATCAAGAAATACATATTAAATCTTCTAAAAAGATATTTAGGATATTAAAGTCTAGTCTTTAGTTTGATAACATATCTCCATTTTAATTATTACTATACTTATGTTCTGACTTAAGCTTTATGTTAAAAACATTTATAAGTCTGAAACGAGAGGCTGTATTAGCTCAACTTTTTTTTAAGAGTAGAGCCAAATGAACTAATGGTACAATGATGAGATTTAATGACTGATGCAGGGGTAATAGGGCTGTAGGGGAACAAAATTTGCCGCCCAAAATGTGTCACTTTGGCATGAGGATTAATTTAGGCTGGTTATTTTTAAAAGACAGACGACTTGGGAAGTTTTTCTTGTTACCTCCCCCTTAAATGCCTAAACGAATGTGGATAAAGGGCCTATTCCCAGAATAGAGCTATCCCCAGAGAGATCTATAAATACAGACTAGGTGTGCTGGGGGAAACTTGGCAGGGCCTTTTTTTCCCTCTGAATTCACCTATTTAAAGATAGAACACAGCCATTCAAAATCACAGAACACATTATTAACACAGAATAAACTTGGAGAATTGAATTGTTATATTTCATTCACATTAATAAATACCTTCAAAGAAGCAAACATAGATTTTTGAGATTCACTAAGACACCATGACACCAGTAACTAAGAGTTTCTAAGTTAACGGTGATATTGCCTGATTTTCAGGTTGAAAGATAATAATAACCTATACATTTAAATTAGATGGCAGCAAACGCAAAGGCATCTTTTGAACTGTATAGTGTGCTGTAAGCAGGAGTTTACTGTACAGCATTCCATCACTCTCCTGGCCTCAGGGTATACATAGAAGGCATGCTGGACACCAGCAATTCACATCACATGAATTATCCACCACTCACAAGGTGTAAAATCTATCATGCATAGAGTCCACTCAGTGTCCCACATTTTCTGCACAGCCCAGCAAACAGTGGTTCACCAAACATTTGTTTTTCCATCTCCATGTGAATAGCCCTCCTCCCCTTTGAAGGCCCAGACCACTACCCCCAATATCCTCTTTTGTCTTTAGCTGAAGATAATAACTAAGGTGAGGAGTTCAGCCATTTTGGTGGGTTACTCAGTTTTCCCGGGCCGCTCCCTTGCATACATTAAAGTTTTGCTTTATTTTCTCCTGTTAATCTGTTTCATGGCAATTTCATTCTTGGGCCAGCCAGAAGAACCTAGATGGGTAGGAAAAAATTTCTTCCTTCCCAACAGGGTTAAAGTACCCAAACCAAGCAAAAATTTGAACAGAAAGTATTTCTACCCTCTTCCCTTTTCAGAGGTTCTATTCTCCCTGCTTCCCCACCTCCCAACGTCTTACCCAGGCAACCACCCTGTACACCAGTTATTCTCAAACTTTGGGCCGTCAGAACCACTTGCAAGGCTTTTTATAATACACATCATTGAACTCCAACCCCCGAGTTTCTGGCTCCCTGGGCCTGCGGTGAGACTGAGAATAGTAGCTCTCAGGTGAGTCTGCATGTCTAAATACTGAAGACCAGAAGGGAAAGAGTGTATCTCAAGAGAGGCCAGCATTGACAGAGGGCAGCCTCGGGAACTGAGGGCTGAGCTACAGCCCTCCAGCCTTAGCAACATACAAACTCCCTGGACCCTAGATGTTGTGATGGGCTGAACTACGGTCACCTAACTCTCTGCCAAAATCCGTATGTAACTGTCAACCCATCCCCACCTCTAGGCTTGCAGGGAAGGGTACACCAGCAGTGAGGATGCAGGTGTTAGAGCAGGCAGATAGCTAGATCTGATAAGAGAAAGGAGATTGCTGGCCAAATGGCAGGAAACCACACATCATGTGAACAACAGAGGTCCTTGGGCAGACTAAGAAAAGCAGGGACATTAGGACTGATAAGAAACCACACATTTTGGAGAGAGAAGTGTCCTAGAGGCAGGCAAAGAAACGATGGGAAAAGGCACAAATCTCCAGTGTCCTAGTGTAACCTTTTGCTTACTATGCCCTGATTACCATAAAATTAGCCTTGCAAATTAGAAGTACCCACCATGCACGACACCATGGCTGTCCAGACTAAATAAGGACGAAAATCCTTCCTCCCCTTAGGAAGGTGGATCTGGAATGAAAATCAGGGAATGCAACCTCAAACCCTTCTCTCCCCCATTAATATTTCAACTATTTATCTTTGCACCCTGTGTAACCAACTTGCCAAAGACACTTAGCACAGCTGCTCACCTGAGCCTGCCTGCTCTCCCCTCGAGAGCTTTATTAGCTAGCGCTTAATAAATCCTCACTTTACTTTCTTGACCTCTGTGTCTCATGTCTTGTCTCTGAATTCTTTCTGCAATGAGACAAGAGCCTAATCTCAGCAACACAAGGTCCTTGTCTCAAGCAACCACATCTGAGCTCTTACGACTTCCTCTTTCACAACCCTAAGCCCCAGCCCCACCAGGCAGGAAAAACCTTTATCTATTTTGGGGGGCAGGAAGCTTTGCTTTATGTCAACAAGTACTCTTCCAAGCAGATTCTCTGCACCTCAGTCCTTTTCAATCTCCTGAGTTGCCTAAATCTTTTGAAACTCAAAACCTAGGTGTTTCATACTTTTCTGCCAAGAATTTCTTCTCTGAGGCAACAAATGCAAAATGGCTAATTGAAAGGTGGGGGGAAGGCTGTACAGGGATGGGTAAAAGGAACTTTGGCTAGGGAAACAAGTCAGTATTTCAGAACATACCCTGCCATGTTTACTTGCTGCTTTTGTGAACACTTTAACCAATGAAATTGCGCCAAAAGGAAAATGTGGCCACAAAGGACCCTTCATCAGCAGATTAGGCTCTTGCCCTGTCTGCCCCATGGAGAAGTTGGAACTGGGCAGAACCACATTCTCTTCCCCTTTTTCCCCATGGGCAGCCCAAGTCCCCCTCCAAGGGCCAGTGTTGAGAGTCCATTTTGTGACCTCAGGAGACCAGATACCCACACACCAGGAATGCCAACTCCCTTGAGGCAGTACCCTGAATAACTGCTAACTGGCTTTTCTCACGTTGGAGTTGTTCAAATGTCAGACACTCTGAATGCTCTGAAATTTTCCTCCTCATTAGCTAGCCCTGTGGTTGAAAATACAGTACTGCCAAATATTCTGGACTAAAGAAGCAAATTTATTAAAAGTTAAGTGTCTTGATGTGTAGAAATGATAAAGCTTCAGCACACATCGGCCACATTTTTTTCTCCTATTGAATCAGAAGGGAAAGTTTGACTGTGATTCTTGTGTTTTTTAAACAACATTCTTTTTTTTCTTTTGAAGAGCAAAATACATAAGTATTTGATGTGGATATGAAAATACCATTTCCCTAAAAGCAGAAGTATTGTCTACTTAGGTAAAGTAAGAGATTTTGAGAGTCATGAGATAACCTGTGTATAGAAGCCACAGCTAAGTGGATGGGCAAAACCAAGCAAAAATGAGAATTTTGGATTAGAGTCACAAGTACACTGAGATCATTGCTTTCATCTTTGTAAAGGCTTAAGTTTCTCACTATTAATTTTCTACATGGTCCTTAAATTTTTCATTATTTCAGTAAAAATAGAAAGTATTCTGAATTTTTAAGTTACTGTATGCTAAATTAGTTTGCAAATGTACTTTATAAATCTGAATTATGACTTTTATCATTCTCAGTGTAAGAACTCCAGAGGAAGTATAAGAAACCTATTACATTCCTGTTTCATCCTGAATAACCCCAAGGTTAAAAGTCTTGGTTATATCATAAGATCATCTTTTCCATCTCTGGGAAGAAATGAAAGAAAAAAGAAAAAAACTACCAACAGGGATCTGCAATGTCCTTTTATAAAAACAGACTCAAATTGCTATGATTACAGTTTTTTAAATTAAGTTAAATGTTTCCATCCCAAATTAATTCTGTCCTTATAAAGTAAAATTTCCTCCTCCATTTGTAATAAAAGTTTAGGAAGGCAAGATTCAAAAGTGATATCTCTGACTTATTTATATGTCAGAAGTTCTAGAAGCTAATTTCACTTCCTATTATGCCACTTACAGATTTGGCAACAACTGTCAACATGTTAATATGCTACATGAGTTTTCATTATAACAACCCATGTCTTTCTCAGATAAAATTTCAAGTTTCACAAAATTATTGATTCACCTAAGCCAGTTAGTTCAACTGGTTTTAGCACTGTCTGGCAATCTCTGAATTCTCCAAGAGGCGAATCAAAGGAGAAAATGGTTCTACAATAAAACACTATATAGATAATCCCAATGGTCCCTTTAAAAAAAAAAAAAACTTTACCACGTTGGCTACCTTGGCCCCAGGGCAGTGAACATGCTTGTAATACACCCAACCGCCATTCTCCCCTGCCATTTTTCTCCCAGGATGTTCACCACCCTGATTCCTTCTACAGCATCCTCGTCTATCTCACATATCCAATGACTGAGCCTATCTCTTTAGTATTTCTCTTGGAGTGCCTACCCATTTTTACCATTGATTTGTGATCATTATTGCTTTCTCCTTCACTCGGTGATAAACTCCTTACAGGCTATAGCTAGGTCCTATATATCTCCCAGCACAGTGAGGACACTGTGAGGACACGAGTATAATCGTTGTCTGTGTTGACCAAATAAATAAATGAGTGACTGAGGGAATGAATGAAATTCTAGAACACATTCTATTAAATAAAGCAATATAATATTGATATACAATTGTAATTAAGATGCAGAGAGAAAAGTGAGTTATAAAAATTATACTGCAGTAAATAATAAATAAAACATCTTCTAAAATATTTAAGAGGTTTCTTCTGCTCAAACTTGGATAATGTACATCTTTCTCATTAAGATGCTGCTTCCTCATTGGTTTGTGGTGAAATGTGAGTGCAATTTCCTGTCCCCTCAACAACGTTGGTTTCTTTACTGGATGCAAGCAGATTGATCGGGCTCCTCGGTGGACAAAACCATCATCTGAAGAAACATGGGTAAGTGTAAGATTAAAAAATAAACTAAGACTTTAAGTGGATAACATACTTTTAAATAGTTGTCAGTAATATTTACAACGTTTTATCTAGCTTAGGCTGTATCAGTGTGGTAATGAAAATCATTATAGGACAAAGAGAACTGGGGATGACATATGGTTTCTACTTTGAGCAGTGGTAAGGGATGTCAAAATTTACATTTAGAAATCCTTAGGTAAAACTATCGAAATACAAAGAAAGGTGTTTATGTTCCATTTCCTCTTCAGGAAACAGTATATTAGCAAACTGAAGTAACTGGTTAAGAAGAAATCTAACAGCTGTAGAGCTATCTGGCACCACTTCCTCTTCAACACAGTGGTCGTCTAGGGATAATTTCCATACCGTCAGAAACAATGTGAAATTTGAAAATAACATTTCCATACTAATAAATATTTGTTAATAATTCTTAATAGGTGACCATCACAGTGTCTGACACACGGCAGAGTCTTAGTAAGTAGCTATTCAACTGATAAATGAATGTTTCCTGTAACACTTTTTATCTTCTGATCGTTGTTATCAGTAATTTGTACTATTTGTTTTAGGGACCTATGGGTTATCTTCTTTAGGCATTTGTTAAAAATTAAAATCAGAATTAAAAATTTATCCAAGTTTCTCAGTT